AGAGTGGGTTACAAAGTACCCTAACTTTATTTATAAAGCAAAAAAAAATTAATAAAGTTATGAATATTTTGCTTTTGCGCACTCATTACATTTATTGTAATTTTTTTTTTAATTAATATTCATCACAAATCTTCTTTATTGCAAATTAGATTCCAATACCAATTTTGCTAACACAGATCATATAAATTTTTATACATAACAAAGAAAGTATAATAATAAAACAATAATAGTTTGATCTGTTGATTATAAATTTTATGATGTTAAGACTTGAAGTATATCATTAAAATCTATGTTTGCTCCACATCCTAATACAAGATGCCTATTCCATTTCATCTTGTACCAACAAACTGTAATGCCCATGGGCCAATGGCCAAGATATGGAGCATGAGAAGGACAAGCCGTTTTGGGTGTTCCCACCATTGAAGCAACACCTGGATTTGGATTTGCTGGAAGGGGGAGTCCAATAGTTGGAAAAACAATGATCATAAACTCTGTGTTTGGGCAGTGGGGTTGAATGCATGTGATTTTATTTATGGCATTATCACGATCCCCAGAATTGTCATAGGTCACCTATAAATATTTGATTAGGCTGATTGTATCAAGAATTAGTTGCATAATTCTGAAGATAAGGGAATAAGATCTTTACCTCAATCCATAACAATGGTGGTGGACATGGATTAATTATAGGATGAAGCCTTTGATTAATTGTTGGTTTAGGGTTCCAACCACCCACATCAGGTCGATACTGATTACCATTAACTACACATATTACATCAAATTGAGTCCACCAAGTTGGTGGGAGTTGTTGATCAAGTGAATTCAATACTTTCTTATGTATTTCTGCTTTAATCCCACCATTAAACTTGAATAGTAACAAAAGAATTAGAAAATGCATGTAAAATAATTATAAAACAAAAATGGTATCTTACCTTGATGAACAATTTATTGTCAACAATTTCAGCATCAAAAATATCATGGATCGCTTCAAAAATTTTATCATGTTTCTTGCCCTTGGCCTTTATTTCTGGTAATTCAAGTTCTATAATATCCACATCATGCATTTTGCGTAGTTCTTCATTGACTTCATTTTCGATTTGACTGATCACCTAGGAGAAATGGACTGTTGGCTTAATTCAAAATATATGTTTCAAAAAAAAATGGAATGCATTATTATACCTTGGATTCTGCATTATCTTGAATCAAGTTAACAAGCTTTTTAAAGACACTTTGTACTCTTTGTACCGTGTTACAAGAATGTACAAAGTTCCTTTTATAAGACTTTTGGATAAATATTTATTTCATGTTTTTTTAATTAACAATAAAATAGTACCTTTACTAATTAAACGACCACTAACCCCACCGATCCCAAAACTACTCTCTACTCCTAAAAATGTGGTTGCCATTGCACTACAAAAAATTAAATTGTAAGCAGAATTTTATTGTACTAGTAATAAATTTGACTAGTAAGTAGAGTTTATTATTACATCAT